GGCGCGCGCGCTCGTGCAGCACGGCATGAAGGTCGTGGGCTGCGCGCGCAGCGTCGACAAGATCGAGGTACCGCGGGGACCGAGCGGGGGTGGGGTGCGGGGGAAGGCCTCGTGTCGCCGCCTYGGCGGCTCCCTGAGGTGAAGGCGCCGCGCGCCGCCGTGTCGGGGCCTCGCCGCGCGTGGGGCTCCCCGTGCGTCCGGCGCACCCTGGTATTTACCCGTAGCAAAAACGCCCGSCTCCGGCGGCGGGTGCCTGGCAGCGCCTCCCGGGCCGCCGCGTTGCTCTCAAGTTGCCTGAGCAGCAACGTCAGTTTTCCTGGTTTCATTTAATCCCGAGTGGCTGTTGAGTTTAGGAGGAGCCGCCGTCCAGTGGGCGCTGTGTGCGGCGGCGCGCGGGGCTTGAYGCGCTCCCYGCRTTACGCGGYGCTCTTGGGAGCCCGGATCGCGTTYGGACGCTGACGTTGAAGGGATTCTGCCCCTTAGCCYGTGTTTTTACCCCTGCGTCAAGCCCCTGAAGAGCTAAGTCAAAAGCCTCACGGCGTAGGCTTGGAAATAAAGACAGTGAAGGAATCCGGGCTCGCGTCGGGATGCACTCGCTTTGCTCCCAGCTGCGTGAACCAAAACTCGTTTGTCTTTCCCAAAAGCGAGCCGAGGTTTCCGTGTCCGGGTGCAACACCGGGAGCCACAGGCTTGCAGTGCGGCACCTCGCATCTCATCAGGTTTTTCCTCTTGAACTTATTACTGCAACTTTACAGAGCATAAGATAGTGTTGATTTTTTTTTTTTTCTCCTTTTGCTTATTCGCATCACATGAGGAGCTTGGGTCTTGGCGAATGCGGAGCTGGATGAGCTCATAGGAGTGGGAAAGCCGAGGATCYGCGGGAGGTTGTGGGCAGTTCAGAACCGAATTCCCTGGCTGTGCGGGGCCTGCCGGGCAGCCGGGTGAAGGAGGCTTTCGGGAACAGSCAGCGCCTCCATTCCCGTCGTGAAGGGCGGGTGGATGCGCCCAGAATAAATCTGCCCCCAAAACAAAACTTTTCTTGTTTTGTATTGCAAAAAGGGGGTGAAAAAARCAACCTTCAGAGACACAAAGCTTTTCTCCTCCCGCACGATGAGTCAGAGAGAAGCCACCACCAGTGCAGAGGAAGCACCAGGGTAACTTCTTACCGYCCTTTGGGGCTTGCTTCTAATTGCGGGTTTCCCGGCCCGCTGACAGCTGCGGCTGTTGGAGAAAGGCCGAGTTCTCCCAAGGTTTTCCCGCGTGCCGGGGAGAGCCCTAAGGTGCCTCCTTTCCTGCAGCTAAGGAGCTGCTGCAGCCGGGCAGTGCCAGGGCCAGGAGGGCTCTGTTTCCCGCGGCTGCACCCGCTGTTACGGGACAAGCRGGACAGTTTAGCACCTGGTGTCTTTAGCTGCTCTTTATGCTCCTCCTGCAATACGATTTGATTATTTTGCCCAGCTTGTTACCCATCACAAGTTGGTCATTAAAACAAAAATTTAAGGGAAACGTTTTTAAGAGATCCTAAAGAAATTTGGTAATGAAAATCATGCAACTTTTATTTCCCCTCTGCTGCACATGTTTTTTGAAAACCTCCCTTTCTCAAGCTTTTCTTGCAGGAATACAATACAGGTTTAAGATACAGTAATCTAAAGGTTTTGCCTTTTTATTTGCATCTGCACAGGATGCGAGGTTTGTATAGGTGATTTATCTGGGTTGCTGTTGTACATAAATATCCTGAGCAGGAAGGACTACTCTGTATTTTCTAAGCCTTTTGTTACTCTAGTGCTCAGAAACTCCTGTTAACCAGTGCAGCTCGTTTCTCTTCCATTTGGTTCCTTTTCCTGTGTTTTCTAAGCACAGAATCAGGTTTGAGGCTCAGTGGTTTGCTTGGGCTGTGTCTTGCACTGCCTCTGTTCTGGTTTAGCGGGCAAGACGCTTCCCGAATGAGGAGGAAAATCCCAGAGATGCTGCTCGCTCAGGGAAGGGAAAGGGGGGAGCTTGAGGGCTGCTCCAGGATCGTGTCCGCCGTTTCGGACCCGACACCGTCGTTGGCACTGATGGGATTTCCCACCGAGTGCCTTTGCAGCAGGGCTGTTTATGGCACCTTTCCTGCGGGATCTGCTGGAGAGGAAGAAAAAGAGGAAGGTAATTGAGGTTTCAGGTTATGGAGCCTGCGCTGGGACTTGGGACTTTGAACGTGGCCGTGCGAAGGCGTCCGGAGGAGCGGGGCCGGCTGTGTGCGCCGGGCTGGCCGTGCCTCGCAGGGCGATGGGCGAAGGGTCCCGTGTCCCCAGAGCATCTCTGGGGGTGCTGGAGAGCAGGAGAGATGCGGGAAGGTTCCCTGGAACATGTGGAACATCTTGAGAGGAAAGAGTACAAATAGAGCAGGAATGCTGTGCTCATTCCCTAGCATAAAGCTTGTATTTTCATTAGTGGTTTGCTCCAGAGCCATCTACTCCGAGGAAAACTACCTCGAAGCACGCTCTGGTTTTTACGACCTGCTGTAAACCGGTGACACAGTGTGTTGTCTGGGGTGGAGTTTAGCTCGGGCTGTAAATACTGTGTGAAGATTTCTTAATCATTCAGAAAATCAGATAAGGGCTCGAAGCGAGATTGCAAAGGAATTGCCAAGTTGTGCTGTAGATACTAAGCTGGTGCCATGAGTCYAGTGCTCTTTATATGGCTTTGAAGTAAAAACATGTTAGAAGGAAGTTAAAAACATGCCAGAGTCTGTATGTTTTTTCTTCTAGTGGCTCCATCAAAAAGCAGCACAAACATCTTCGGTGGAGTCGGGACCCCAGTTGACTTCCATGGAATAGTGTTTCCTATTGTTTCAAAATCACTTTGGAATTTGTGGGGTTTTTGTCACATCTTACGTGCAGGGCACGGTAAGAGGCGCGATTTGGCAGCAGGTTTTTCCCCTTGGTGCTAATGGGAGTTGTGACCTTTCCGAGCGCGGTGTGGGCCCACCTGCAGCCCTCATTCACAAGCCCTGCTCGGTCAAGCCCGTTCCCTACAACAGCCCTTTGTTCCCCGCTCCTTTCACCACTTTTGTGAGTGAAGGCTGTTTGTGTGGGTTGTTCCACAGTGGCTTTTTTATGTAATTAGTCTGAGAGCGCTAAAATATAAGTAAAATGGCTGTCTTTTACTTTATATGCCACTAGCTAATTTGGCTCGAAAGCTGGTTTTCGAAGAGAAGCCGCGAGGAGTTATCAGCTGTCACATCCTTCCCGGCATATGGGCTTACAGCGTGTTTTCTGCTCCTCAGATATTTACATGTGTTTAAAGTCAGGAGCGAGCTCAAGTGATTTAATGAATTACCCGGGAGCTGGTTTTTTACCTTTCTTTTGCCTTCGGGCAGACCCGGCGCTGGAGGGAGCCGGTCCCTGCTGCACAGTCACCTTTACGGGCGGCCGTCGCTGAGCTCTGCGGTCTAGCAGTGACATTTGCTGCGATTTGACAACTTGCTGAGGCCCTGGGTGGTGACACGTTGAGCTGCCCTGTCTCCACCCACGGGCTTCGCCTCGCTGCCTTCCCAAGCAGCCTCCTGGGTAACTTTATTCCTGATTTTTTCCAGGAATTTGGATGTTGCAGCTGCCTTCTCGCAGCCGGGATGTTTGCAAGACCAGCAAATGTCCCCCCAAAGCAGCTCCCGGCCGCTCTGTCACCAGCCATGGGTTTTAATGGGTGATGCCCAAGTTTGAGCCCTGCTCCTTCGAGCTCCCTCCCTGGGAAAACGGGACAACAGGAGGCTGCTCAGGCGAGTGCAGGAAGATGAGGCCTCCATGAGCAATGGCCAATTTCGCAGAGCCTCTAAAATATTGTGCTCTTAAAAAAATATATGTATTTTCCGTGTTGAGGCGAGAAGGGAGAGAGTCGTGCAGGAAGCAATAAAATATGGCTTAAATTACAAGGTTTAACTGATCATTCTAATGCATTTGTGACAGTTATTGATCAAAGGTAACATTTATAACCAGGGACTGCGTTGTCAAGGTTAGATCTTGCTTGAGAAATAGCCTTTGATAAGCTGAGCTATCGATTGCAGATTCTAGCAGCGCAATCTCTGAAGAGATTAGTGCTTTCTTTAAGCAAAGCTGCGTCCGTGTGGGAGTGGGAAGGAATAACGGAGCCTTCCTCCCGATAGCTGAGCATCCCCAATAGATATATATCTGTTGGTATATATATATATATATATATCAGGATGCCCATTGCAGCCTCTGCCAAGATACATTGCCTGCAGAGCTGCTGTGGGGCAGCTCCCCCTTTTTAATATATTGTTTTCTTTAAGGCAACAGAAGCAAATCCAGGCAGGTTATTCCTGAAACCCAGTCTGCTTTTAAACGAATGCCCTTCAGAGTCTCCTTGGCCTCTGCAAGGGTTTGTTTTATTTTTGGCGAAGGCCTTGGCTTCGCGACATTGGGCACTCAAGGCCTCCAAGGTACTTTTATTGCCACGTGTCCCTGACCAGATCCTTCCCTGATAAATATGGAAGAGCCATGGTAATTGCTCTCCTGAGCAGGAACAAATGCTTCGCTGTGCTCCTGATCTTCCTCATCCTTGAGGCCAACGAGGCTGCAGGGTGTGTGTGTGTGTGTGGGGGGGTGCCTTTTAATCAGGTTTTGGGTTGCCTTTTAATCAGGTTTCCTTCGCCCCCTTCCCCTTCAATCTGCTTTGTGTGAATGGAGCCTCTTCCCATCGCAGTCCCGGTCTCAAGAGCAGGGTTTGCAGCGGAGCCGCTGCTTTCGAGCGCGGGATCCGCTGGTGAACGGTGCTTGTGCCGGGCTGCGCTGTTATTACATGCTCTGTTTGCTTCTCTACTGCTAAAAATAGACCATAACAGAATCTTTTCTCAGATTTTGGAGTTGTGGAGACTTGTTCTGCCTCTCCTTGCGTGGCATGATGCAGATCAGGTGAGTGTCCCGTGCCTCAGTTTCCCCTCTGTGAGCTGGTAGGGGGCTGTTCCAGTGCAGTGCCCAGGCCCAGAGGCATCTGGGATTCTCCTTTCGGGTTTATGGAGCCCAGGTGCTGCTGGTGGTTGGTCTCCTGGGCCCGTTACAGCTCTGCAGAAAG